AATTTTACTATGTTAAAGTTGAAACCTTTTTTTATTTAAATAGAAAAGAGGAGGTGATGTGGGATTCCCCTCTGTATGCCGTAAATACCATTGGTTAATTAAAGAAAATGCTTTGGGCCTGTTGTAGTGCAGAATAGAGCAAGGGAGGAAATCCAAGCAGATAGATGTAGAGTAAGAGTAGGTGGGGTTAATGAGAAACCATGGGGCTACCACAAGAGACAGATGCATCAGAACCTTGTTGGTAAGTCATGAGCCTCTTGGTAAAATATAAAATAGAAATGGGTTAGTTTAAAAAGTAAGAGCTATCTAGAAATATGCTTAAGCTATTGGCCAAACAATATAGCAAAGAATATAGTTTCTGTGTGATTATTTCTGGTCTAGGTGGCCAGGAACAAATAAGCAGTCTCTGCCAACAGGAAGACACTGTTTCCTTGATGTTATCCATCACATCTGGCTCTTACAATCTTTCTGCCTTCTTGCTTTCTCTTCTACATAATTTTCTGATCTTAAGAAAATGATCCTGACAATGACATCCTACTTAGAGATGATTGCTCCAAAGTCTCACACTCTGCACATTGCCCAGTTCGTGTTAAGCTATTTCTACTGCAAGAAAAAGCTTCTCTGGTGAGGACAGACAGCAATATTTCATTAGGAGGCATTTTATTGCTGTGTTTTTTTTAACAGAATAGTAGTAGGTTTTTCCCTAGGCACCAAGGTTCTTGGTCATTTAGTAGTATCAAATTTGAGTTTCATCTGATGGAATGGTATTTAAATCCATCTATAAAATGTGATTGCTTATTATCATCTTTCCACCATTATTACACAGTTTAAATTTCAAGCAGGTTTCTGTTGTCAATTGCAGCATTCATAGCTGGGTGATATTGAGGATGACTGTTCTCCTCTACTACCATGCCACGTACCTTCCAGCACTATGAACACTAGTCAATGGGAGTGAAACGTCTAACTGGACACTGAATTGATTTGTCCAAGTTCATTGATATAAGTAGACAATATCTTCACCAATATGGCAGCCCCCTTCCCTGGGCTTGGGTCCTGGCCTGATTTAAAAAAGAGGAAGGGAGCTAAGCACAGCACTCTTCACTCTCTGCTCCTACTAGACTGTAGATGTAATGCGACTGGTCACTTCCAGTTCTTGTGCTGTGACTCCCTCATGGTGATGAGCTCCATCTGTGAACTCCAAGGAAAATAAACTCTCTTAAAGTTGTTTTAGTCAGAGTTTTGATCACAGCAGCAGGACAGAAACTGAAAAAAATTATCTAGAGAGAAGATTATGTTATAATGAGCATAGAAGTAATACTCATTCTTACTAACAATAGTTTTGGCCTTGACAGTAGATATGTTGTGCCAGTTTTTAGATTTCATTAGGGAGTTGTCTAATTTTGATTTTGATTCATTATGCCTTTGAGGATGCTCATATTCTATGCAGCCATCTATGTTCGGCAGTACATGAATAAGGCCAGGAGGCAGGGAAGGAGTCCCAGGGTGACCTGAGATAGCAGCATATTCAAATCATAGTGGGAGAATAGCCCTGGAATGCCACAAACTGTCTAATCTCATTTTCATGTGTATACTGTACTCTTTTTCTTACTAACAGTACGATCGGTTATGCAATGTCATTTCTTCCTTAATAAAACATATGAGAATCATATGTTATCTAACTTTTTCCTCAAACTAGCAATTGTTATTTATCCTCATATTTGAACTTTAGACTCTATGCCTCTCTGATTCTAGTGACCAAGTTAAATATGCTTTAGAAAATTTGAATTTGGTTTTTACCCCAAACCTGAAAATATTAAAAGTGTTTTAGACTAAATCTATCGATGCAATACATTTCACAGTATGTCTTTCTCTCCTCTGTCCCATTTCAGTGTTCTACATTCTATACTCATCAGTTAGCTTTGTGGTACTGTCAGACACACTGGTTTAAAGTATGTAATTCTCATGCTTCAAGACTAAAACATAGAAAACATGTGCCTCTAGATTGAGTCACTGGAAACTATGAATAAGCAAATCTGTTTCTCTTCCTCCTCCTCTCCTTCTTCTTTCTCCTTTTGCCTAGAACAGGTGAGCAAAGAAGCTTTTATAATCCCTCAAAAAGTTTCTGAGAGTTCTTTGGGACTAAATTGGTTGATGCTCTCAACCACAGTAGTCCTAGACAGCTAAATAACACCACGGCTTCCTTTTCTATGAGTGGGCTTTCTCTTCCTATCTGAAACTGAAGCAATCTAGGCAAAATGAAAAACTAAAGCACTCTTGGCCTCACAGTTTTCAGGTAAATAGGAACTCTTTGTTTCATCTAGATATTGGCTACACTTAGCCAAGAAAGCAAAATGTCATTACATAATGAAAGATAGATTAAATTTCAATATGTATTATAATGACCACATTGCAGAAAGCTTATATATTATTAAACTACTAGTTTTACAACATAAATGCAAATTCTTTGCAACATGGTCCAGTAACAGGTGTAGTAAATTCCCTTCCCTTTGAATTTGTGCAGGCTTCTGACTGCTGAATGGCGAAAAGAAGGCAGAAGTGATGCACTATGATTTCTGGGGCTTTGCCACTAAAGTATTAACAGCAATGAAGTGAGTGTCAGTTAGAAATCTCATTGCTGAAATCTTGAGGTACTATATCAGTGGTTCTCAACCTGTGGGTCACAGACCCTTTGGGGGCTCACATATCAGATATCCTGAATATCGAATATTGACATTACAATTCATAACAGTAGCAAAGTTATAGCTATGAAGTAGCAATAAAATAATTTTATGGTTAGGGGTCACCACAACATGACGAATTGTATTAAAGGGTCACAGCGTTAGGACTGTTGAAAACCACTGTCCTATATGAGGAATCCACTGACGATGATAGTATCTGATAGCTAGTTCAACCTTAACAAGGCACCTGGCATTTAAGTCAAGCTTTTTCAGGCCCTTTAAACCATCTGCCACTATGGGACCATCAAAGGATGCCTGAAACTACTGTGTGGGACAGAACTGTCATCCAGTCATCTCTGGTGGAATTTACAACAGGAAATAATAGGAATTTTTGTGGGGTAAAGATATCTTTTTAAATAATAATGTCTCACAACAAATTGCTAGAGTATCAAGGTAAATAATATATGAAATGCTTAGAGATTCAAGGGGAGGCAGAAAATATAGTGTGATATGCTGAAACAAAGAACAAGAAAGCCAAGAGAGGAACTTAAATAATTTCTAATACAAATCTTTTCCAAATTCCATGAAGCATTCATAAATGGGAGCACATCAATAATTCTATGGCTACACGCAGGCACTATGATCATTTACATGGGATGAAAACTCATGTAAATGATCATAGTAAAACTCATCCCATGTAAATGATGTCAGGTGTGGCAGAATGGAACATAAAATTCCATTTTGGAAAAGCAAACTTTAAGCTTTGTCGTTTGTGCATAATGCAAAGGGTTTAGATCATTGCTTGAACACCTGAACACCATCCCAGAGCCTACAGATTTACAGCACAAAGACATAGAGAACACAAGCCTTTTAGACTATAATTGTATATTTCCTTTTTTTTCATATGTTTCCATACATATACCTGAAATGTTAAAGGGTTTTCTACTCATGGATAAGGAATAATATCTTTTCCAGTATGCACACATACAAAAATTTTGTTGATTATATATGAAAATGTATCCAAATTTGAACTTCAGCATTTCAACCACAACTTCCCTTACATGAGACATCATCATCTCTCCTCTTAATTATAGCCTTTAGTGATTAGTTTTGCTTGGTTGTTTGGTACAATTTAGTATCATCTGGGAAGAGAGTCTCATTGAGAGACTTTTCTTGATCAAGACTACCTATAGGTATGTCTGTGGAGGATTATCTGCATTGCATTCATTGATGTGGAAACCCAGCCTAAAGGTGGGTCATATCATTACTTGCTATTTGGCTCTTAATCAAAGAACCGAGAAAGAGAGCTGAGCAGTAGGCATGTATGTATTTAGTTCCCTCTATTCTTTACAGTAGATGTGACGCAACTAGCTGTTTGAAGTTTCTGCCACCTTGACTACTCTGTAATAAAGGCCTATAACTTAGATTTGTGCACTGAAATAAAACCCTTCTCCCTTAAGTCACTTTTTTCCCTGGGCATTTTATCACAGCATACATGAAACTAGTACAGAAATTGGCACTGAACAAGTGGGGTCCTGGCTGCCATAAACCTATCTATAGAGTTCTTACTGCACCTGTTTTGTTACTGGAAAGTAAAGACTTTAACTTTGTGTTAAAAAAAAATATAAACCACAAAAATAGTGGAAGCAGAGCTTACTGGACCATTCCAGTAGGTACTTGGAAGACAAGACTGCCAAGAGAAATGGAGAGAGTGGGGCCCTGGCTCATAAGGCTCACAGAGAGAAAAAGGATTCTCTCATCTCCAGAACCAGAAACGGGGCCAAACATTCATGTGGTATTTTGGCCAAGACACTGAGTGTATTCTGCTATGTCTGTAATGTTCTACTTAAGTTAACTTTGAAGATGATGGAGTAATCTCTATGGCGGAGGGAGTTTCATAGTTGGAGAGAGAGAGAGTTCCGGCTGATGCTGAGAAAGCAGCTGGATTTCTAAGGATGTCCGCATCTCTGAAGCAAAATCTCCTTTGTTTCACTGGAGCAGTAGAAACAAGGCTCTAAGCGTAAAAATTCCCGCTGACTGAATTCTTCCAGTGGGGTTCCCAATTTATTAAAAAGACATACGGCTACCAAGGGAGTTCCTTGCACCACAAAAATTACCTGCCTATGAAAGCATTTCACTGGGGTGAGCAGGGAGAAGCTATTGAAGCAATGGTCTAAGGAAGGCTGGCTGTTATCAGCTCCCAGCAGAAGTAGCCAGCATTGTGACAGTCTCCCACGTGGTACTGGATTTGAAGGAAATGATGCAAGACTGATGTTGTCATAGAGACCACGCACCCTGTGACAGAGTCAGAGTATAAAGTCTTGAGAGGTTTTGCAAAAAGATATGAAAGTGAAGCTTCAGTTGCTATGAAGACCCCAGTATTCTATGCAAGCAAGCATCCTGGGACATCTACCAAAGATAGCTGCAGGTATAAAGTGGAGTAACCTGTGTCTAAGAGTAAAGGTGTGGGTTACAGCTGTTGGAGTTGGTGACTTGAAGCTACTCAAACCTTTTGAAGTCCAGAAGATTAGATTGTGAGTACAAGATGTTGAATAGACATTTGTGTTTCACCATTTGGCATTTTCTTTTTTTTTCAGAAGGACTTTAGGTTTACTTTGGTGTGATTTTTCATTTTATTAATACTCTTGTCCTCCCATTTTGAAGTAAGAATTTTCACGTTATCCCATTATATGGAGGAAGTATATAATTTTTATTTTATAGTTAAGAGACTTTGGACTTTAAAGATATCGGAATTGTTCAAGATGAAGATATGAGACAAGGGGACAAGGAATGTGGTATCTATCATTTAAAGGTGGTATGTTTGTATCAATTGTTTCAGTTGTCAACTTGGCATATCCTAAAATCCCCTGGAAGAGATTCTCAATGAGGGATTTCCTTGATGAGACTGAACTATAGGCATATCTGTGGGAGACTGTCTTGATTATGTTTTTGATGCAGTCATATCTGAGCTAAATGTGGGCCTCACCAATCCCCGTGTTTAGGCACTGAATTATATAAGAATAGAAAAAGAGACCCGATAAATAAGTCATTTATTCATTACCCTCTACTCTTAGTGATGAGATGCAACTAGTTGTCTCTAGCTCCTGCCGCCCTGACTTCCCGGCAATGGGCTCTGGCCTGGAATAGTGAGCCACAATAAACCCTCTTCCTGCCTCATTGCTTTCTCACAGTAACAAAAATAAAACTAAGACATTTACCAGGTCTAAGACTTTCTCTCCTCCAAGTATTTAACTGCTTGGATCACAAACCCCCAGCACCTCCCTGCCTTACTTGGAAAGGAAGTGTTTTTTTCTAGGGTCTGTCTGGGTGCTGGCTGCTTGTGTTTTATTTGCTCATCTGTCACCAATGCACCCTGTATCCTGTGGTTTCTTTGGCAATGGTGCTTAGACATAAGTATCATCTCAGATTCATTGCATTTTTTGTTACTCACCCTGACTAATTTAGTCCCTCGTGTCTTACACAAATTTCATCTGTGCACTACAAAAGAGTAGAGTCATTCCCTGATAGTTCTGATAAAGTTAAGGTACCTAACACACCCATCCTAAATCCACAACTTTGGCTCTTTCATTCTTCCTCTCTACTTGCTTTTCTTTTTATGCTCCTACTCACCTATTCCTTAATATGTAATATATCACCGCTTATTTATTTTAATATTTATCTCAAAACCAAAGAAAAATATTTTTATTTAAATGCTTAAGTTGAGTTAAGTTAAATTATTTTGATAAGTCCCTGCTAATCTATCTATCTATCTATCATCTCTACTTATCTACTGCTATTTTCATTTTTACATTTATTTACATAAAATTATGACTATATATAAAGTTTTTCTAAAATTTAAATTAAGAAATTACTAGAGTCAGTGCTTCAGGAAAGTGTTGTGTGCCTTGTGTGAAAAGATTAGAGTGGTAAGTATCCAGACATATAGAGGTGGTAAAAATATGTCATTTTAAGGACAGTTTTAGTAGCAGTAATTGTTACCCTTGAAATCCCAGGACAAAGTAGCACCATGTCTTGATTAGTTATATTCATGCCTGGCATTTGAGTTCAGCTCCAATCTGGGGTGTACTTCTGCTTAAATAAATTGGAACTAGAAATTGGAGTTTACACAAATGTATACATAAGAGCTTTGTAATTCAAGTATAATATTTCACTGTTACTAAACTATCCTTTAATTGTTTTAGGATGATTGTTTAGGTAGGAATCATCATTCATATATGTTAAAAACATATGGAGACATTAGATGAAAGGATGCTAGTATAGGAATTTCTCCCAAATTATTGAAAGGAAATGGAATAATGAATACCATGTAGATTTAACAAAAACCAAAAATGACAAAGTTTAATAAAGGATGACTTAGTTAGGATGGTCAGAACTTACTACTATCAATAGTTGTGCAGACTAGTTGTTATTGTACAGTCACTCAAAAATTGACCAGCAACTAATTAAAAACAAAAGAAAAAAAGATGTTTTATCCAGGTGATGTGGTGAATACAACCCAACCCCTTATACCATTTTCTACCTTAACTCTACATAAACTCTTAGAAAGCTGAAAATACTGAGTCTTAGAAAGGGTTACTACTGCTATGATGAAACACCATGACCAAAAGCAACTTGGGTGGGGAAAGGGTTTATTTGATTCACCTGCCCAGGGTCACAGTTCATTGATGGAAGTCAAGGCAGAAACGCAATGCAGACCAGGCAGGAATCTGGAGGCTGGGACTGATTCAGGGACCATGGCAGAGTGCTGCTTACTGGCTTGCTCCTTCTGCCATGCTCAGTCTGCTTCCTTATAGAACCCAAGACCTCCAGCCCAGAGGTGGCACCACCCACAATGAGCCAGGTCCTCCCAAATCAATCACTAGTTAAGAAAATATCCTACAGGCTTGTGTACGGCCCAGTCTTATGGAGGCAGTTTCTCAACTGTGGTTCCCTCTGATCAGATGACTGATTTTTTTTTGAAAGTAATTTTATTAAATTATAAAAGTTTTCATTTCCGCCCCTCCTCCCAACACCCTCCCACTCCCCCCTCTCCCTCTCCTCCTCCCTCTTCGTCCCTAAGGGCAGTCAGGGTTTCCTGCCCTGTGGGAAGTTCAAGTTCCTCCCCCGTCCCTCCAGGTCCAGGAAGGTGAGTATCCAAACAGACTGGATCCCCATAACCCAATATATGCAGAAGAAACAAGTCCCAGTGTCATTGTCAATGGCTTTTCAGAAAGACTCCGGGCCAGCCACATTTAGAGAATCCGGCCACATTCAGAGAATCTGGTTGGATCACGTGCTCGTTCAGTCCCAGTCCAACTGGCCTTGGTAAACTCTCATTAGATCTGTCCCCTTGTATCAGTGGGTGATAGCATCCCTCGCAGTCCTTATTTCCTTTTTCATTTTCTTCGTCCTTCTGCTCCTCATTTGGACCTTGGGGGGCTCAGTCCGGTGCTCCAATGTGGGTCTCCATCTATATCGCCATCCCTCGCCAGATGAAGGATCTATGGTGATAAGCAAAATATTCATCAGTATGGTTATGGGCCAAGGCCGGTTCAGGCACCCTCTCCTCTGTCCAGAGAACAATCTGGGGATTTCTCCTTGGACCTGGGATCCCATATATAATCAAGTCTCCTGTAAACCCTAAAATGACTCCCTTAGTTGAAATATATTCTTCCCTGATCCCATATTCATCCTTCCTCCCTCCCCCCCATCCCGGTCCACCGAGCTTTCCCCATTCCTCCCCTACTCCCTTCTCTCTAACCCTCTCCCCTTCCAACAACCCTCCCACCCACCCCACCCCCCCAAGCACCCGAGGTTACCTGGGACTCTTGTCTATTTCCTACCTCCTGGCGGATAGCTAAATAATCTTCATCAGGTTCATCTTCTTATTTAGCTTCTCTAGGATCACGAATAATAGGCTCAAAGACCTTTAATTATGGTTAGAATCCACTTATGAGTGAATACATACCGTGTTCCTCTTTTTGGATCTGGCTTACCTCACTCAGTAAAGCGTTTTCTATTTCCATCCATTTGCATGCAAAATTCAAGATGTCATTGTTTTTTACCGCTGAATAAAACTCTAATGTGTATATGTTCCACACCTTTTTTAACCATTCTTCTATTGAGGGGCACCTAGGCTGCTTCCAGGTTCTGGCTATTACAAATAGTGCTGCTATGAACATAGTTGAACAAATGCTTTTGTAGTATGTTAGGGAATCTCTAGGGTATATTCCCAAGAGTGGAATTGCTGGGTCCTGAGGGAGGTTGACTCCCAGTTTCTGAGAAACCACCACACTGATTTCCACAGTGGCTGCACAAGTTTGCATTCCCACCAACAATGGATGAGTGTTCCCCTCATTCCACATCCTCTCCAGCATAGGCTATCATCAGTGTTTTTGAGTTTGGCTATTCTGACAGGTGTAAGATGATATCTCAAAGTTGTTTTGATTTGCATTTCCCTGATCGCTAAGGAGGTTGAGCATGACCTTAAGTGCCTTTTGGCCACTCGAAGTTCAGATGACTGATTTTTAACTTGTATCAAATTGACATAAAGACAACCAGAACATTATATTTTCATGAAGGAATATACAAATATTTTTAGTTAAGACTATGTCAGTAAGTTTTCCTAGAAGTTGGCTTTTCAAGTTCAATTTAGTAATTATATAAAAACTTCAATAGCCAATGCGGCTGGGCTGTTAGGATAATGAATCTGGTGTCAGTGAAATCAATGCAGTCTTATATTTATTAACCCTTTTTGCATTCTGTTGTTCAGGAGTTCACAAAGCCCAAGTTTTCATATTCCCCTTAAAAAGCCTGGCGTTCATGCTTGAGTAACCAATTTACACAGCCCAAATGACAGATGAGCAAGCAGGGAAAAGACGCCGATCGCTCTTCCACTCCGCCAGCCCCGTGCTCCCGAAGCGGCTTCTGTTTTCCATTTCACATCGTGTATCAGGAAAAATGCAGCAATGACAAGGTAATAGAAGGATGATTAGCTTTAATGTACTCCCTTTCATGTTTGCAGTTAGAGCAAATACGAGCTAATTTATAGTCTCAGCTATTTTTCTCCTCAGTGTGTATTGTAACAAATGTGAAAATTGCGGGTGCGAGAGCAATCGATCAATTGAGATAAAATGCAAGTCAAGTTCGATGAGTCTTTAACAAATTTTCATAAGGCAATCCTCCTTGGTAAAAGCTGTCGGTGATTTCTGTGTCAGCATAGAGACTGTAAATCCGGGGAACTCTAGGTTCTGGGAGACGACATGGATTTTCTGGTTAAGCACGGGAAGTAAATAGCATCAAATCAAAATAGCAGACAACTTCAGTGTTTCCAAACAAAGAAATCACATAGCTGGCATTTGATTTCAAATATACATTTTGTTATCAACAATACAACTAATCAATATTTTGAGATGATCTAGAGAATTTGAGATTGTACAGTGAGTTCTGAATACTTTAAGTAGCTTGTAACCGTAATTTATTCACAACAATTTTCTGGATTCTAGAGTTCTGAATACTTTAAGTAGCTTGTACCCCTAATTTATTCACTATGATTTTCTGGATTCTATTTCTGGATAGCCTTTAAAGGGCATTAATCACAATAAAGTTGAATATTAGACAATTATAAAATTTGAAAATATACTTAATGGACCAATAAGAAATGCCTTAAATCAAATTTTTAAAAATAATTTTCTCTCTTCTTGATAGTATCAAACAGCTATACAATGAAATATGATAATCCCTACATCCCAATTCCCATGATCCACTCTCTCTGTCATCTCTTTATGCTCCCTCCCAACATCATATAGGTTTTGATAATCCAGTGAGTCTAATTAGTGCTGTTCACATGTGTGTGAGTGCTAGATCAGCTACTAGAACATGGCCACAATCTCACAACCAGAAAGACTCTCTTCTCCCCAGCACTGAACAACTGCCATAGGTTCTCGTAGTGGGCGAGGCCCAGAGATCTCCTTCCCCATCTAATTGGGGATTTTGACTGGTTTGTTCTTATTCTGTGCAAATAACCACAGCTGCTATGAGTTCATGGTGTAGCAATACTGTCATAAGACAACACTGCTTCCAATCTTCCATTAACACCAAGAACCCCTCTCAAAAAATAAACTCAAATATATTTAAGGGTGAATATATTAATGCTGATCTTTGTTGGAAATTTGCCTTTAGCTAATCATAAAGCAAACTTCTATAATATCTGTTTTATTAACGATGATTAGTAAGACAATATGGACAAGAATAAATCATTAGTATACTCAGTCATTTTAGACAGATTTGACTTTTATATTGCATGCTATTATACTTTGTTATGGACATGTTAGAATAAAAAAAATAGGGGGAAGATTTATAATCCACAAGAACAACCATTTACAAACCCAGGAAATATGAGTTGTCTTTCAAGTTCATCAAGCATTATAAGAGTTGTATTAGAAAAAAGTGTGTATGTTAAGACATGTACCTGTATAAAAATCATCTCCCTGAGACCAATGTAACAACACAAATTTTTCATAAATGTCTGTAACTATGCCCTATTTTTAGTTATGAATATATGGATAATCTTTGAGATAAATTAATACTGAATTTGATCTTACTGATATTAAAATATATTTAATGTTTCAAATAGCATCCAACTATATATACCATGTGGAAACATATGCCCCTAAGAATGTAGAGATATATAAAATAAATATTGTGCTTATTAAGTTTCTACACCTTGGCAAATAAATAAGATTATAAATATCCATTTTAGTTACAATATGTAAATATTTTAGAAGTCATCACTCAAACACTTCTTGCAAGACAAAATTTCCAGAAAATAAATTCAGAATGTTGTAGTCAAAGAAGGGATTAGTGAGCAGGGCAAAGCTTGTAGTACATCAATCATGTATATATAGTCAGTTTTTCATCACTATGACAAAGACTTGAGAGAGTCAGTTTAAAGAGGAAAGGTTTCAAACTATGATTGCTCTGTGATTGGTCAGAAAGAAGAGAGAGCAGCTGGGTGGTGGCACATGCCTTTAATCCCAGCATTTAGGACACAGAGGCAGGGAAGTCTCTGAGTTCAAGGCCAGCCTGATCTACAAGAGCTAGGCTCAGGACAGCTAGGACTGTTAAACAGGGAAATCATGTCTCAGGGGAAAAAAGAATAAAGTAAAGAAAGCAAAGAGAGCAAATGGGTATAAGATATACTCTATAAAGAAAAGTCTCCAACTAGTTTCCCATCTAGAATTTTCCATGACTATTCAATAATGCCATCAAATCATGATTTTATGTTAGATTAATACATTCACTTGGGCAAAGCTCTCATTACCTCTCAATGATTGGACCTCTGGTCTTCACGCCAAGCCTTTAATTCATGAAGAATATTTCATTTCCAAATTATGCCAATGTGTAATGGGCCTAAACCCAGACACATTCCCAAACAACCACTGAGGATTAATTGAAAGATTATAGAGTACATTTCTCTTCCACCATAACTGATTTTCAGATCACCAATACTATAGTATAAGAGAAGATTTTAGTCCAAATTGTAAGACACATGATGTATATATGAAATGAGTTTAAGTGGGGTTAACCTATTATTGGGGAATGGAAAATGCCCTAGCTAGATAGCACATGCTAGTAAAGAAAGACTCCAGTGCTAGGAATTTGTCACTTCTATTTGAATTGTTGGCAATGGGGCCCCATTGATCCCCAAACATTATGGACAACTGCCAACACTCTTGGTTACCTCCAGAACTCGGTGCTAAAACAATATTGAAAAAGATACCAATTCTTTGTCATAGAACATAAAAACATCAAGCTGGTACTCACCTGAAAGCTTCATCCATCCCTGAAGGGCAGCTGGGTAGTGTTATGCATACTTCTGTTGGAGAATATAATCATCAGTCTTACCCAGCTATAAATCAAGCAATCTAAATTATAACTGATATGACAAGAAAGAGTCATGGTGTTACAATGGCATGAATGCCATGGGAGAAATCAACCACTTTCTGATTAGAATTAAGGCACACTCCACAAGATGAATCTCATACCTGGCATTGGTACCAGTGACTAAAACCTGTGGCTGGACATTTAAGAAACCTAGGGTAGAACCTAACACCATCAATCAGCTAAATGACTACCATTCTTTATGATTTATTGCTATACCCATTGACTATTCTATCTCAGAACCTTCACCAAAGAAGCTTCTTTTTTTCTGTTGATATAATTAATACTGAGATCCACAACTATTTGGTGTGAAAAAGATTAAAGGCCGTGGAATGCTCATGTCTAAATGGGACATCTATAACACACACACACACACACACACACACACACACACACATGCACTTTAAAGATTCAGGGATCTTGGCAGAAAGAGTTTAAGATCTAGAAGTAGCACATAACTACAAGGAAATAGTGTTTTCTAGACATGGCAGAGCAGTTGCACATATGAACTCAGGAACTGTGATAGTATGCACAAGCTCAAGCTAGACACAATCCCAACACAGAGCAGGAGGTAGAGAAGAAATACCACAGGTAATTATTAAGGAGTTACTGACATTAAATAATGGCTAGGAGAAGAAGAGTTAATTTTCTTCAATGGCCTGACTACTGAAAGTTCACCACACTCCAGGACAGGTACTACTCTCCAGAAAAGTTGAACAACACCAGTCAGACTACATAGTAAAACTAAAAAAGAAAAAAGAAAAAGACAAGTTGGGGTGACAAGGAGGCAAGGTTAGAAATGGTGGATCTAAGAGGAATTGAAAAAAGAGTGGTCAATATGATCAAAATACATTGGATGAAATTCTCAAAGATTTAATATCTACAGCTATATATTAAGTCACAGAAATTCTCTCTCAGAAAGATTTAGGAACTTTGGAGTTAATATAGCCAGCAAAAACAGTGCTAAAAATCATGAATTTCATGAGCAACACAGTTTCACAAATTCCACCACAATGCAAGTGTCCAACAAATGGCCACATAAAGATTTCCACAAAGGGCATACTTCTGGTCTCATTTCCTACTGTCCAATACCACACATTTGCACACACACACACACACACACACACACACACACACACACACACACACCACAGATGCAAAGCATACCAGAAGTTGGGGAAACCATCAACCTTCAAATAAAAATCAGTTATAACACAAATGTTGCAATATCACCCAAAAAGGTTAAATAATTGACAATATGGTGTTCTAATGGAGAAAGAAAGAAAACTAACAAGTAAGTACAGCTGAGAGCAAGAGATTCCAAGAAAGAATACTGTAAGTGGTGGGAATGAAGGCAGCACCAGGAGTGAAGACTATAGATTCATCATATTCGCTGACACAGTGAAGGAAAGAATCAGAGAATGAGAAGAGTAAAACAGCATAGTAAAATCGCTAAGATTAAGAACTGTGGGACAATTTAAGAGATATGATGCAAATATAACAGTAAGAATGTGAGAGGAAAGAAAGAGTAGAGCATAAGAACTAGGCTATAATAGCATCATTTTCTAAAATAAGGGCATGGCTATTCATGGCAGACACTAAATCAGAGATACAAGAAACACCAAGTATGATATGTTTGTATGTATACACACACACACACACACACACACACACATATGTATGTATGTATGTTTTGGGGGGAATGAGAGAGTTAAATATAATCAAGGTAGAAATATATTCTGACTGCAGAAATTTAAAACTTAAGAGAAAAATTTTACAGAATCCAGAAAGGGAAAATATCCTGCCTACAAAGGAAAAGGGTAAGAATTACAACCAACAGGCTATCATAAAAATATGCAAACTCAAGCATGATGGAATAAAATGTTTACTGCTGAAATAAAATTCATTATCCTAGACTTAACACTGCTAAATTATACTGCAAAAGTAATAGAAAAATGTTCCTCAAACAACACTGAGGAAATCAAATGCCAGCAAGCCTGTCTTGCACACAATGACTTAATGCAAATTCCTGAGACAGAACAAAAGGCTATGACTGTGGATCTGTATTTTAAAAGGAAAGGTATCAAAGAAAGAATAAATGAAGGAAACAGAACATATTTTTTTTTAGTCTTCATTGGTCTAAAAGATAATTTTTGCTAAGGTAATAACAGCCAGAAGTGTGGATGGCATCCTTTGAAAAGTGTAAAGAATAGCATCTTGTCACAAGGATAAAAGTAAGGAAATGGAAATGCTTTGTTGGATGTAATACAAAATGTATTTTGGGTTTTGTTGCTGACTTGTGACACAGAACTCCTAACGTTCTTGGGATTCCTAAATGCTAATAGTTGTCTTTTGTTATTCAAAACTACCTCCTAAACCTGCAAACACCTGCTAATAAAGGACTAGAATGTTGGCTAGGAATCACAGTGGGAACCAACCATGTGAATTAGAACGTAGAAACTTTGAGTTCTTTCCTCAAAGGATCAGAGATGGAGGCAATGGAGTGACAGCTGAATTACATCAATAATGCACAGGACCATGAGAGCCCTTGTGAATATCATGGGATAGGATGGGAAAGCATCAGGACGGCAAACAAATCAATACTTGGAAGGAAACAAGCCATATCTGAGTCCAGGTCAGGTACACGGCCCCTAAGTGGAAATAATAGGAGTCATCGCACAGCTCCATATTCAGTGTTTCTGCTTTTGCAACAGCCCAACAATCAGCTGTGTCATGTGAGTCTCTGATTCCAGGTGATGGAGAGCTGAGCCCATCAGTCACTCACTGAAGTTCTCCTGTGAACAAGAAGCAAACCCTGACACTTTGTGAGTGAACAGAAAAAGAAACAAACAGAAACAAAGAGTCAAAGGGGCCTATTTTAGGGTTGTTTGTTATGGTGGTGATTTTTAGGGTTGTTTGTTATGGCGGTGAAAGTTAACTAATTTTGACCGAAACATTTTTTTGGTTATCTTTATTTCTTTAAACAAAAGAATATGTAGCTCATAGTGGGTAATATGCTAATGAATTAAAAATCAAATAGTGAGCTCTTAGAATTTGACTTTGAATGATTTGATGTGATCTGTCCTTAAAAAAAATCGTTTTACCAGACTGGAGGGCATGCAACAGTCATCTGTCAACAAGTTGTCGCTTTGATCACATATAAAGAAAGTTGGTTCATGAAGTCTTTCATTTAGAATGTTTAATTTTTAATATTTCCCTAAATCCTATCTGCCATGATAAGTTATGACACCAATCAAAAGTTTAAAAATTATACTGATCAAAATTAGAAATTATAATGACTTGACAACTGAAGGCACCTAACTTTTAAAACTGATAAAAGTTCACAAAGTTGATAACATATTTGAACAAAAGCATCATTTCTGCGATAAGTCTAATAGTCTTGGAAGGGAATTAACTTTGCCACTTGCATACTAGATATGCCAACATACATTACATTTAAATAAAATAAGACTGAAGGCGTTGTTAGAAATATGTAGTCCTAATTGTTGGAAATATGTGAGAAGCTCTGACCAATGAAGTGTGAGCGCCGTTGATATACACTATTTTCAGTCTGAGGTACTGCAAAACCTGTGCTTCGTTTCTCATCATCCATTCCCAGCTCTGCAATCAAGGCATCCTCCTCTGGGCAGGGCAGGTGAAAGATGACAACATCTCTGCCTGTGTTTCAGTATCTCTTGGGGTTCCCTACCCTCTGCTGACACCTTAGTGAATTGGCACTTTGTGAAGCATGCCTTGAATCACAGTAATTTAAATAAGCCATCTGCTTTGTACTGAGCCCCCGCCAGGTAGCATCGGAGCAGGTCCCAGAGTGAAATCTGGGGGAAAGCATGTCACCCCCATCTACAGATCTTTGCTAAATGTGTAACCTCAGAAAGAAACCAGTCCCATACAGTAAGCCACTGTGAGCTAAGGGTTGCTGGTTGATGCTCCATTTCTCTAACCTGCCCTGACAAATATATTAGCACACATATGTACCTGCTTTACCAAGGAGTCTTCTTGGGGGAACCCAGCAAGAGAACAAACAGCAAAGGAGGAAACAGCAAAGGAAGAAAAGATTTTTCCTTATTGTTGTTACGTTAATAAGAAATTCACAAAAAATTAATATGTGATTTTAAGTAAGAAAATAAATCACAGGTGCACAAGGATTATCAAGTTTTTAATTTTAAGTTATATACACTGGGAAGAATTTCTTGTAACATGAAGGGCCTGCTTGTAGTGATGAGGCAAGCAGGCCTGCTTTTCGTCCTGCCCAACTCTCACACGGCTAGCTTTACACATGAAATAACAACACACAAATTGTATTCATTTAAACACTGCCTAGCCCATAAGCTCTAGCCTCTTACTGGCTAACTCTCACATCTTCTTTAACCCATTTCTAATAATCTGTCTAGCACCATGAGGTGGTGACTTACCGGAAAAGATTCAACCTGTCTGACTTGGCGGCTGGTTCCATGGTGTCTGCCTGACTCTGCTTCTTTCTCCCAGCATTCTGTTCTGTCTACTCCACCCACCTATGTTCTGACCTATCAAGCCAAGGCAGTTTCTTTATTAACCAATGAAAGTAACACATAGACAGATGACCTTCCTATATCAATTTCTGTTTGATTCTGTAAGACACACAGAATATGGAAGGGATAATAATGGCAGACGCTTCCAAGAAATTTTATTCCTTTAAGAAGTGATTGTTGTATGATGTCTCCAAGTACATAAGGAATAAAATAAATAGAAAGACTACTTGTTTCCTCTAAGAATATGCAGACCAGTGGTAGGGACAGAAAAAAATAAATGTGCACAGTTATAACTCATTGTCAGGTACGATGTACTAAAAAGAAGAATCATTAGGATTATAAAAAAATAACCCAGAGGAAGATTTGAGATAAAGAAGTCATAGTATGTGTCTAATCATATGACATCATTTACCCCAGTGACCTCAGTGAACTGAGGAAGTAAACCCTGAAAGCATTTGAAGAAAGTACTTTAGGTAGAGGTCTCAGTGAGTGCCATTTCCCAGAGCCTCGAACTGGTTTCTTGATTTGGGAACAACTAAGCCCTGACTTACAGTCACGACTTGTGGAGTAAACAAGAGAGTGTGGTAAGATGGACTTTGAAAACTTGCTAAGGACAGACCACTTATGACAAGGTAAGGTTTGCATGTATATAGATATTTGCTGTTGGTGCTTTTACGTTTTAAATACCACAAATGTTATTCTTTGAGAATTTCCAACACACATATACTGTATTTTAATCATATCCACTCCCCACTTCCCACTCCAACCCTTACTGCATCTTTCTTCAACTAACAGACCTCTTCCACCCATCTCCATGTCCTTTCAAAGAATTAAAGAAAAATATAGAGTCTGGTTACTGCTGTCTATACAAGCATGGGTTTGGAGCCATCTCCTGGAGTATGACAAACTTTCCAGGGACGACACTAACTTTCTCTCTTCCCTGGTAACCATCAACTATCAGTAGGTCCTCAGCCAAGGGTGGCTACTCAAGTGTCCCTCTTTGGTATGTGCTGTAATATTGGCTGACTTAACTATACTATAGGCAACCACAGCAGGCTATGCGTTCATGAGTACAATGGGTCCTGTTCTGTTCAGAAGAAACTCTTCTTCCTGGTTTCCTGATTCCTCCCCAGTTTCTGGCTTTTAGAATATTTCTTTTCTCACTCTTCCACAAATTACCTGAGTTTTGAATGGGGGAGTATATGATACAGATGTATCATTTGTGGGGGAGCACTATACAGATAATCCGTTTTTATAGAGATTTTAAAAGGTGTTTAGTGTTTGGTGGTTTAAATAGGAATGCTCCCATAGCTCATGCATTTAAATGCTTAGTCACCAGGGAGTGGTACCTTTAGGAGGATTTTCCTTGTTGGCATAGGTGTGACCTTGTTGGAGGAAGTAAGTCATTGGGGGTGAGCTTTGAGGTATCAAATGCTCAAGTCAAACACAGGATCTCCCTCTTTCTGCTTCCTGCAGCTGTGGAACTCTCAGTTCCTTCTCCAACAACATGTCTATCTGTGTTCCACCATGCTCCCTGCCATGATGATAATGAACTAAATCTCTGAACTGTAATCAAGCCCAAACTAAACCCTTTTTATAAAATAACATATCTCTTCACAGCAAACAAAAAATACTGGCTACGGCAGTTTGTGTGTGTTTGTATATGTGTGTGTGTGTGTGTGTGTGTGTGTGTAGTTTATGAAGGTGCCTGTAAATGCCAGAAAAAAGACATCAGATTCTCTGGAGCTGAGTTACAAAGTGATTGTGGGCCATCCAACATGGGCACTGAAAACTAAACTTGTGTCTTCTGGGAGAGGAGCAGACATTTTAACTATCAATCCATCTTTCCATGCCAAGCAGACAATATTTTTTATCTAATGATAAACTTTTAAAGTATCACGGCCACCGTACTACCATTAACTAATCTAAGAAATGAGCAAGCAGTAGACTTAATCTCCTTTTTTAAACAGTGCAGACCTACATATAACATACGGAACAAATGGTCTCACACATTGAACAGTGAGCAGCTAGTAACTTGAATGTGAAATGCCCCCTAAAAGCTCACGTTGTGAATGTTCTGATCCCAAATTGTGGAGCTACTCTGGGGTGCCATGGAAACTTCGGGAGGTGAAGTCTAGCTAGTGGTAGTAGATCATTGTAGGTCCTTGAGTGTATGTTATGTCCACCTACTTTCTATTTCAGCCTTTGCTTCTTGGTCTACAGTGCTATGAACAGACTTTGCTCATGCTCTTTCCATCACAAACTGAACTGCTCCCACACACCTTCCCCATCATGATGGTCTTAAGCTATGAGTCAAGATATATACTTAAATTGTCCAGGTATTTTGGTCATTATTACGTAAAAGTAACTAATGCAGTAATACATGATATGATTTATGAAAAACAATAAGAAAAGCTATCTGAATCTAAGAAATGCTTTAATTTCTTCCCTGAATGCAATCTCTAAATTGCAGTATCAGAGAAGGAGAAAACAAATGATGGATGTACTTAAGAATTCAGGAACAGTTCAGTAGCTGTGAGTGGAAAGCAGTTTTGAAAAGAAGGGGTTGTGTAGATACACACAGCCTGAAATTCAACCTTAGAAACTGACAGTAGGGTACTTACTATTTAAGATGCCATTGATTGTTTGTGCATAAGGTAAAATTCTGTAGGGTTTAGCAGCAGATTCCATAGAGTAGTATGACAGCAAACAACAACACCAACAAAATATTCAAAGCTCACAGCAGTCAAGGAGTTTTTTCAAAGTTTGATTAGCCAGGGAATGCAAACATCAGTGATCACTCAGGCCATTTGGTAAAGACTTCAGAAGAATCACACCTTAGGAGTAGGGATTAATTATCCCTAGATTAAAATGTGCTCCAAATACATACTACAAAAACTTTAAAGCAGGCTTCAACATCAATTTTTTCTTTCAAAATAATTTACTTGCCAAAATCAGTTTCTCAGACAATAGCCTAGGACATGTAAGGTCCAGCCCCATTCAAAATATTTCACTCATGCCAAGAAATAAGAAAAGTAACTTATAGACAAAGGAATAGGGAATGCAGTCAACAAAAATTGCAAAAGTGGTAGTAATGACTGCATACATGAATGCTGATTTAGGCTCTTTGAAATAACACAAACAGAGAGCTTGAAGTCATAGCAATGGAATGAAACCAAGTGAAAGAGACAAAGAAAGACTAGGAAGAACTGGGAAAGTCTTCCCTGACTGAAAGCATTCCAGATCTGATGCAGATGAAAAGAAAAAGAGAAGAAAAAGATGCTCAAACCTGGATTT